AGTCCCTGAGGTCTCTCCCCACCTGTCCTCACATTGCCCCCAACCTGGGGTTTCAGGTTTGCTTTACGCAACCAACCCCTACCCAGATATTAGCCGCCTTTTCTTGTTTATGTCTATTATCTTGTCTCTCCTTCTTCCTCTCCCCCTCTCTTCCTCGTTCTCTCTGCGTGTCTGTCTCCTTCCCCCACAGATGGTTGTTGAGCACTCACTCAAGAGGCTGTCCGGGAAATCTGACAATGTAGGTGAACATTTATAACATCTGTAAGACAACACTGATGTCTGAAAACCCAACACATTACTGTCCATGTTCCAGATATGGACACACTAGATTCCTCCACATCAGTCCCTGCCTTCACCAAACGTGGGGGGATGGCCCAGTGTGCACCAGGCAGTGGCTGGGCCTGAAGAATAAATCAGGAGGAAGGCACACTTTCTGTCCTCCAACAGCTTACAGGGTCTGCACCCCCCTAGACCCTGCCGGCTGTGTGTTGTTATCTGTTCCACCCACTCCCATGCAACCTCTCTCAGAATGTCCTCACGTGATTGGAAGATGAACTGGAACCACAGCTGTGTCCTCACCCACGGGCACAACTCAGTATTGTTCTTTTGCCTCCACTCTGCCCAGGGCTGTGGGGCCTGGTGAATAATGCTGGCATCTCCGTGCCCTTGACACCCAATGAGTGGCTGACCAAACAGGACTTCATGAAGATCCTCGACGTGAACCTGTTGGGGACGATCGAGGTGACCCTGAGCCTGCTGCCGCTAGTGAGGAGGGCACGGGGCCGCGTGGTCAACGTCTCCAGCGTCGTGGGCCGGGTGTCCCTCTTTGGTGGGGGCTACTGCATCTCCAAGTATGGCGTCGAGGCATTCTCAGACTCCCTCAGGTATTGACCTGGGACCCAGGCCCTCCCTCAATCTTCCTGCTTCTGTGCCTCCAGGAAAGCCTTTTCAGAGGCTCTTGCTTCCAGATCCTTCTTCTTGCTTTGTGCAGGTCCTTCATTGGGAAGCACCTTTTTATCTCTTAGGTGTCATGTGGGGTCCTAGGTCTTAAGTGTTTGATTCAACCTATTCCTGCCCTGGAGGAGGGCCCACATCAGAAGGTATCTGAGGCAGAATTGGTATCGATATAATTTGGCTGGGAGCCCATCCATATACATAACTCATGATCTTTAGGTCTGACAGCCCTGTTGGCAGTGGACCCCCTGGACGCAATTCAATCTGGGGAGCTCCCTAATCAAATCAGCAGTAGGGACTCCACTGGCTGCAGAGCAGAGGATGGCTCTGAATGTGGGGGAGCTGAGACCACATGCAGAGAGATGCTCCTTAGAGCACAGATGGTCAGGGAGTTGACTAGAGCAGGAAAGGGAAGAGAGTTTTGAAGAGTGTGGGGAAGATAAAATGGGCACAGCCTTGTGATGGATTGAACGTCGGGGAACCCAAGGAGAGAACATTTAAGTGGTGCCTTGCAGCACAAACGGTAGGTTTTGGAGCTAATAAGTTCATGCATCGAAAATGTTTGGAGAAATATTCGAACTCTATACAGAGGCAATACCATCATCATAAGTTTTCTTCCCCTAGCTACGTACTTCACATCTCCCCAGACTTTCAAGCTTATTCCACCACACTCCTATATTGGTGTTTTATTGTTTTTTCATGAATTTTTCTGTTTTATTTTGCAAGACCTCTGAAGTCTGTTCCCTTTGCCTGTCTGCCTTGTAGGCGGGAGCTCTCCCACTTTGGGGTGAAGGTGGCTATGATCGAGCCAGGTTTCTTCAAGACCACTGTGACCAGTACTGAGGTGCTTTCTCGGGAGATGCAGGAGGCATGGGATCGAGCCAGCCCAGAGGTCAAGGAGGTCTATGGGGAGAAGTTCCTGGCATCCAGTGAGTGAGCTGTGGACCGTGGGGAGAGAAGCAAACCTCTATCTGGAAGCCTGAGTCCATCATTAGTGCTTCCTCAGGTCTCAGGTTCATCCTCTAGGCTCTGACTCACCCTTGCAGTGGGGACATTTAGCTCTATCACCATAGTCCCATGTGGTCAACTGGTAACCTAAGGAAAGGATCCAGGCTTGCTAGACCTGGGGACCACTGTCTCATCTGAACCCCTTGTTATGTTGAGGAGGAAACTGAAGCCAGTGAGAGAAGACACTCCTGGACTCATGGCAAGCTGGTTCTAGAACAGCTGGTTTTCACATGCTTCCATTTCTTGTGGTTGTAGAGACCTCCAGTTTATGTAGTCCAGATATTCCCAGGAAGAGAGCCAGAGGGGTCTCAGTGTGGAACAGTTATTCCTGGGGTTGGGTTCAGGCTCTCCCTGGAGAATTTGGATGGATTTGATTTAGGGGGGTCCAGGAATTCTTAGAAACTTCACTCCATAAGTTGATCCCAAAGTGAGAGTGGTTGGAAGTGCGAATACGTTTGGATCTTTCTCATTCTGGACAGGCATGAAATCAATTAAATTGGTGGAGAAAAAGTGCACAGAAGATCTGTCCTTGGTGACAGACTGCATGGAACACGCCCTGACCTCCTGCCACCCTCGCACCCGATACTCAGCTGGCTGGGACGCCAAGCTCTTCTACCTCCCCATGAGCTACATGCCCTCCCTCCTGCTGGACGCCATGATCTACTGGAGCTGCCCAAGGCCCGCCAAGGCCCTGTAGCCCAAGACTGGGGTGCATGGTAGGGTGAAGTTGGGTACTGTGTGAGGGAGGGATGCCTCAGGGGGAGGGAAATAGAGTGGAGAGAGGGGCTCTCATGTCACCAGGGACACCCATCTCACCTCACTCCCCACTTCCTCCCCAGGCTTCTCCTGGGACGTTACTGAGGACTCTGGGGATATTAGGAGGAAGGAACTAAATTTTACAGCTGAGGAACAGAGACCCAAGAGCACATATCTGTGCCCTCTACCTTGAGTGGCCTCTCAAGGCTCAGAGCCTCATGGCTTTCCTGCCACCCTGAGGAATCCACACTTTTGGGAGGGTGTGAGCAGCTGGGAGAAGCTCAGCCCCACCTGAGCCTGCTCTGCCTCTGTCCTCCTCCTCAGTTCTCCCTCTCCCACAGGATGGAAATGACCTAGCGGAGGTGAAGGCCCCTCTCCACTGAAGATATCTGTGGACAGAGGTGGAGGTGTGGAGGGCAACCACCAGCCTGACCCATCAGCCTCAGGTGCCAACTCACCAGGGAGGCCTGTTGCCTGAGCCTGGGATGGCTCCCTAGCCTTGGGAAGAAGAGCCTCCATGGGTCCATCGGAAATCAGTAGGCATAGTAAATAAAGAGCTGCATGTGAAGATGCGTTAATATATCGTTCTAAGTGTGAAAGAGATCTTTACTGTCCAAAGAAATGCCTGAAGGCTTCTATTTCCCTTTATCTGGATGTAATATTTTAGCCAGTTTTCCAAAATTTCTAACATATCCCAATTTAATCTAAGGTTGCAATAGAACCAGCACAAAAACAATTTTTGATATTTTATTTATTTATTTATTTTTAGTTTTTGGTATTTTATCTCCTCATCTTTACAGTCAAGACTCACTGCTTCCGATCATCAGTATTTGTTGAGCCTTTACTTTGTACCAGGCACAATAACATGCAGAAATCATTTTTCCTTCTCTTGAGGAACTTATATCCTAAAAGAACAAAAAATCTCTCTCTCGATATGGTATATCAGTTTGATGTTTACTCAGCGAGTATTCTATAGGGTGATATTTTGTTATAATTTAGCCTCATTATGTTTTAGAGAGTCGAAGAAGAGGAAAGATTTAAAAGCAGTCAAAGAGAGACCATTCAGGATAGGTAGCTGTGGTAGGCAGGATAATGGCCCTTCAAAGATATCCATGTCCTAATTTCTAGAACCTGTGAATTTGTTACCTCACCTGGCAAAGGAGAATTAAAATTGCAGATGGAGTTAAGATTGCTAATCATTCAATTTTGTATAGGGAGATTTACTGGATCCTTTGCACGGGCCCAAGGTAATGACAAGGGCCCTTGTAATGAAAGAGGGAGGCAGGAGAGCAGGTCAGGGTGATGTAATGTGAGAAGAACTCAACCTGCCCTTGTCTTTAAAGATAGAGGAAGGAGGCTGGAGACAAGGCTTGAGGGTAGCCTCTAGAACCTGGAAAAGGCAAGGGTGTGAATTGTTCCCTGGGGCTCCAGAAAGGGACACAGCCTGGCAACCCCTTGATGTTGGCCTAGTGAGGCCTGCGTCAGACTTCTGACCTATAGTCCTGTAAGATAATAAATATGTATTGTTTTAAGCCACTGAGTTTGTGATAATTTGTTACAGCAACAATAGAAAACGAATATAGTAGGGATTACAGGAAGATAAACCTAATCTCACCAGCTAAGGAGGGATTTGCTGCAGGAAATCGGATGAGGAAGTAGTTTGTGAGATATCAGCAAAGGAAGCAGAGTTAAAACAGCGAGTTGAGCCAAAAGGATCATGTGTCTTTTTTCCAAATACAAGGCCACCAAAGTAGAAATGGTGGTGACCAGATGGAAGAAGAGAGAAGGCTAAAAAAGCAAGGTAATATTGTACAACTGACAAATAAAAAAATAAAGATCCTTTAAGAAATCCAAGAAAAAGAAGAAAAATCCAAGGTAAGGCATAAGATATCAAGAAATTCTTAAAAGCTTACAATTCATGTTACACATTGTTATGATAGGGCAAGAACATTGTTGGCTTCCTTAGGTTAGAAGATGCCCTACTCTAAGATTTAAATGACACACGTTACTTTATTCAGATAGACCCCTCCCCCACAAAAAATAGAAGCTGATTTGTTTCAAGGAGGAGAGGGGAATGGGACATGGGTCAGAACAGTAATAGTCACATTAGTAATATTTTTGTCATTATAACAAAGTTTATACTGAAACTTGGTAAAAGCATATTAGCTGCCAAGAAGAAGAAGGAACAAATTTTCAAAAATATATAACTCCTTTAGAGAAATTTTAGAAGCCAAATACTAATCTACATGAAAAGCTGTAGAGAAAGTCAGTCTTAGCTTGGTCTCAATTTTCTCTCTGTGTTCGCAGCCATCTGCTGGTTTTTTTCTCAGCCCCTTCAGTTTTCTGGTCAATACTTGAGATCCCCTCCAAGAAGAACTGCAGGCTCTTAGATCCTTATAAGCAGCTGGGAGAGGGTTCCTTTCCTCAACGGGTCATTCAGCTCCTTGCTCAGTTCCAGCCTCCTGCAGCCACCATGTCATCAGAGCGCCCTGCCTGCTCGGCCAGTTTGACCTTCTGCACCGCTCGTTTTGCCCCATAAGTGTACGTTCTGTGTCTGGAGTAGGTGGCAGCAAATGGAAGAGGGCACCGCAGTCTGGGGGTGGCAGTGGTGAGGCTGGGGCTCTGTCCCAGGATCTTGATGCTTGTAGACTTTGGTGTCACTTTGACTCCTGGCCTCCCTTGCCACCGCTCACCCAGTTAGTCGTGGTGTCACTGGCTTCAGAGTCCCTTTCTCTCACTGTCACCACATCCTTTAGGTTCTTCAGCTCATCTCATCACCTCCAGGTGCCTGGTCCTGGGGATTGAGGGAAAATGTCCCTAGGGACTGATGCCCAGGGGGGCTGGCGTGCCCTCAGTCCTTGACTCCTGCCATTCTCCTGGTCGCTGAGGACAAGCAAGGCCTGCTTGGAGTGCAGTGAGGGCTCCCCAGAGGTACCCCGATATTTACTTACATCTCAAAGAGCAGAGAAAGAATTTACAATGACAATTTTATGAAGTAAATGCTCTAAGAAAAAGGCAATCTCTTTCCCTTATTGCACCAGGGAAAATTAATTTTTTATTTTTTATTTGTATTTACCTTACAGGTATCTGATGTCCACAAAACAGTTCTCTCAGTAGTTGCTTTATTAACCCTGGGACCCTTGGGGCTTTCTACTTTCTGGTAGTGGGGGGTCCCACACCACCAGCCCCTCTGTAGAAGGACCCTGCTGCCTCTTTCTTCAGGACAGTGGAGGTCCATCCACTTTGGGGAAATCCTTCGTTTCTCATGGCCTCTAATAGTGGAGACTCAGCTAAAGGCAGAGAATTCCAAAGAGTTGATGACATGGAATTCATTTCTTTTGAGATTTGGAGGCACAGAACCAGTTTTTGGTCTGTCTTGACGCCATGAATTTACCTGGATTATCTTTGCCTTAAAATATAAGTTAAAAAGTTTACAAGTGCACAGCAAGTGGACCTCCAGTCTCAGGGAGGCATAGGATGTGGGTCAGATGTCTTCATGGAGGTCAGGGGATCAGTGGGGTGACCTGAGGAGGATTTGAAGAAAGAAGTAGGATCATCCCTGCCCCGCTTCCTTCCTCAGAAGAGAAGGGCAAATGTTTCCTTTCCAGGATTTATAACCTGGGGTCACAGGATTAGACACCAGGATAGACAAACAAGGAGAGGTGGCTAAGGGATTGGACCCAGACCCTTCCGTGGGGACATCAAGCCTCTCCCCTCAGCAGCAACCTCTCTCCATCTGTCTCCAACTGTCCCCTCCTTTAGAGTCACCACCCTCCATCCTCTGCCATGCCCAGGTTCCCCAGCCCAGATCCCCTCCCCACAGCCTCCAGTGGAGGAGAGGAAGAGGCATTTCTGGACCCCAGTCTTTCCTTTTCTGCTAAGCTTTGTTGAGCCCACTGTGTGCTGGGCAGGAATTCCCTCAATTGCCCAGTGCTTCCTGAGGCCTCGCCTTTCTCTGTCTCCACAGTTCTGATGTTGTTCTGAGTAGGGACTCCACAGAGAAGGTATTTGCAGAGAGTGATACAGATTCCTGGGCTGAGTACAAATTGGAGTTGGCAGGTATCTCCCAGTCATCTTAGTTCACCTCCCTCACTGTAAAATTGAGGTTTTGGAGACTTAGAGGAATTTTATGCCACTGAATAATATGTTGTAATATTATATACCTTATAAAGGCTTGACTTATTCAATCATTTGGAGTATTACCAAAGTAAACATTTGCTGAGTGGGGGATGAAATAAACACAGACAGTCTGAACGGTAAGATCTAGGTTAGAGGAGACTCCAGTGTAGACAGGGCAGATTGGGGAATGGGGACAGCAGGGAGGAGTGGGAGGACCTGGGGAGTGGCTGGAAGGAGCTGGGACTTAGGAAAATCAACAACGTGTCTGTATCAGGCCTCTCAGGATCCAGTCACAGTCATCAAAATCAATATGGAAATCAAAATTCAAGAATGACTGTGAACAGGAAGACACTTGAGGACTCCAGGACAGAGAGTGCTAGAACTCTAGCCTGACTGTGGCCTTCAGGCATTGTCCCTTGCAAAGCCACGTGGCTGTACCTGGCAGCCCTCGTGGGCCTGTACTACCTCCTGTGCTGGTACCGGGAGAGGCAGGTAGTGAGCCACCTCTGAGACAAGTATGTCTTCGTCACGGGCTGTGACTCAGGCTTCGGGAAACAGCTGGCCAGGCAGCTGGACCTGCGAGGCTTGAGGGTGCTGGCTGCGTGTCTGACGGCTGCGTGCCTGAGCGTGCGGGAACAGAGGCACCACCCCGCTTCCTGTTTGTGTCTCTTAGTTTCTTCGCTCTCTGTGCAAGGGAAACCTCTCTTCTGCTGACTGGGAAGATTCTCAAGATGTTTTGATTTTCAAAGCTTTGAGCTTTGGTGTCTCCAGAGCATAAGTCCTAGGGTGGCTGAGTCTGAGCCCAGGCTTAGTTGAGCCCAAGCTGTGTTTAGGGCCGACTGTCTGGAGGAGGTGTTGGGCCCTTGAGGCTTGCCGTGGCACCGTTTGGGCTGGGCCAGGCCGGATCCAGGCTGACAGTCTCAGCATGTGCACATTTTCCTGCTGGTTCCTTCACACTCGTCCCTCTTGAGGGCTTTCAGACCGTCCCCACTTGACTTAGGAGGACTCTGAGGCTTGGAGAGCTGAAGGGACTTTAGGTCAAACGCGAATGAGCGTTCCTGTTCTGTCTATTATATTATGCTGCCTGCTGTCTTGGTGAAAAAGGAGACCATTGATTTCTTTTTGTGATTATGAATGTAAAACATGCTCATTGTAGAAAACATAGAAGAGGATAAAGGTAAAACAACATTTACCCTAATCCCACCCTCCAGAGTTAATTACTCTCTACATTATGGATCTTACGATCAGCATTTTCATCAAATTTTTTCCAAAACATAAATTCAGTGTCTATATATGCCAGCATGGTGAGAGACCATACTTGATTTAAGCCATCCTATAGTGTCGTATGCTGAAGTTTGTTTCCCGCTTTTCCTGGCATAAATAACATCTCGGTAAAGAGTTCTGTAACAAAGGTTTGTTCACATTATCAGTAATGTTATTTAAGTAAGTTAAAATAATGGGATCAAAGAACATGCATTTCTTGAAGGCCAGAAAGGTTTCTGAGCAAGGGAGGGACTAATAATGCAGGGCCTATTGTCTTTCCAATATTGCCGGGGTCAAACTCTGCCTCCCCCTCCCCCATCCACCCCACCAGACCCTCCTCACCCAAAACCCTGCGCCTGCTGACTTGAAGTCTGTGGGTCTGTACCTCCAGCTATTTCAAACCCTTTTTGTGTCTTTTTTTCCTGTCTCTTTCAGAGAGGTTTCCTGAAAGCTGAGTGGGCCAGGGACCTAGGGGGGTGGGGCGAGGGTGGCCTTTTGGGAGGGTAAAGGAGAGGGAGACAGTGCTGGGGCCAAGAGTGCAGTCTGCACTAGGGCATGGCATGAGGCCTCCTGCTCCCCTCCCAGAGCCTGCCCTGGGCATCCCTCCAGGCTAAGCTGTGGAATTCCCCAGCATAGAAGGAGACTGTGGCTCCCTGAGCAGACAGTGTCTTAGAATTGATGTGACCTGTTTCAAAGCTTGTCCCCTGAGGTCCAGTGCAGGCCTGTCCCCTAAATTACCCTAATTCTGGGATTTCAAGGGTGTCTTCCCCAACCAAGGTGTGTAAAGTAATTATTCACATTTTTTTCTTTTTCTCATTTCCTTTTTTCTTTCTCTTCTCTAGTTTTCCCTCCTTTTCTGTCTCTTATGCATTCCGCTCTCCCTGTCTCTGTCTCTCTCCCATCAGATATTTGTAGAACACTACTTTATTCTCTTGACCTCTGTCCATGTACTTAACAAAGGATATTGCCTACTGAGTGCCAGGCACCGATGAGCTAAAATGAGAAGGACCATCCCTGCCATCCAGTAGCTCAAAGTGTATGAAAGCCCTGACAGCCTGCAGCCACCCTGTCCCCATTTCCTCTCCTGCACTCTTTTTCCTTATACTAAGTAGTACGTTGTTGTTGACTCAATAAATAAACTCAATTGGAAGGTGAATTGGAACCCCAGCTGTGTTCTAACCCCTGGGCACAGCGCAGTGTTGCTCTCTTGCCCCTACTGTGCGCAGGGCTGTGGGACCTGGTAAATAACGTAGGCATCTTCATGCCCACGGCACCCAATGAGTGGCTGACCAAACAGAACTTCGTGAAGATCCTCAACGTGAACCTGTTGGGGGTGATCGAGGTGACCCTGAGCCTTATGCTCCTAGTAAGGAGGGCAGGGGGCTGTGTAGTCAGCATCTCCAGTGTCTTGGGCCAGATGACCCTTTGCAGTAGGGGCTATTGCATCTCCAAGTATGGCGCTGAGGTCTTCTTGAACTTCCTCAGGTATTGGACTGGGACAGAGGCCCTTCCTCAGTCCTCCTGCTTCTGTGCTTCCAGGAAAACCTTTTTCAGAGGACCTTCCTTCCAAATCGCTCTTTCTTGCTTTGTGCCAGGCAATCATTTTTTATGTTCTGGGTGTTGGGATGGGACCCAGGCCTATAGAGTTTGATTCAACCTATCCCTGCCCTGGAGGAGGGTCCACAGTCAGATCGTGTCTGAGGCAGAATCGGACCCAGGATAATGTGGCTGCAGAACCAATGTCCATAACCCCTATGACATTCAGCTTCAGTGAGCCCTTAAGGTGGGGATAGCGCATTGGAGTCAATTCAACAGACACTTCTCGGCACCTCTGTGAGTGCACAATAAATGTGTCTGAGGACAACATTTGGTCCCTGACCTAAAATTCTGACAGCTGAAAGAGACAGATACAGAAATGTTGTGGCCATCTCTGATGATGCTTTCACTAAGTTAGCCACAGTGGCTGTGGTAGCCAGAGGAATGAGGGGAGGGATCTGGAGAGGGGTCTGAGGTAAGGATTGAAGAACTGAACTGGGTAACCTGGCAACCTGAGAAATAGGGTGTAAAGGCTTCCTGGATGAGGGAATGAGGTCAGACAAGGCCCAGGGTGAGTAATGGTTGAGTGCCTATGCCGCAGGGTGCTCCAGGGTAAAGGACAAGGTCCAGGATGGCAGGAGGGATGCGGGGCAGGTGGGCATGTGTGGGCTCGCAGAAGGTTGTGGGCCTTGGACAGGCTGTAGACCTTCATGCTGTTGGCAGTGGAACCCCATGGAAGGGATTTAATCAGGGGAGCTACTTTGTCAAATCGGCATCTAGAGAACCCACTGACTGTAGGGCACAGGATGGCTCTGAATGTGGGGGAGCTGAGACTGCAGGCAGAGAGAGACTCCTTAGGGGACAGATGGCCAGACAGTTGACTAGAGCAGAAGAGGGGAGAGAGAGGATTGAGGAGGGTGGAGGAAGTAAGATGGGCAAAGTCTGGACATGGATGGGATGTAAGGGGACACAGGAGGAGAGAGCACTTAAGTGGTGCCTGGTAGCAGAGTAGGTAGGATTTAGAGCTAATAAACACATGCATGGAAAATATGTGAAACAATGTACAAATCTTACCCAGAGACTATGCTATCATAATTTTTCTCCCCCTGGCCACTGCCCTTTGAAACTTCCCAAGCTTTCAAGTTTATGTCACCCCAGTCCTGTGTTGGGGTTGTATTGTTTTTGTTTGCTTGTTTGTTTGTTGTGTTTTGTCTCCCAAGACCTCTGAAGTCCTTGTCCCTCTGCCTGTCTGCCTTGCAGGAGGGAGCTCTCCCACTTTGGGGTGAAGGTAGCTGCGATCGAGCTTAGTTACTTCAAGACCAGCATGACCAGGAATGAGACGTTTTCTCAGGGCTTCCAGGAAGCATGGGACGGGGCCAGCCCAGAGGTCAAGGAGACCTATGGAGAAAAGATGTTGGCATCATGTGAGTGAGCTGTGGACCATGGGGAGTGAAGCAAACCATTGTCTGGAAGCCTGGGTCCATCATTAGTGCCTCCTCAGGTCTCAGGTCCGTGCTCCAGGCTCTGATTCAACCACACAATGGGGACATTTGGCTCCATCCCATGGTCTCATGTGGTCAACTGGTAACCTAAGGGACAGATCCAGGCTTGTTAGACCTTGGGACCATGGTCTCATCTGAACCCCTCATCACAAGGAGGAAGCTGAAGTCAGAGAGGAAGGACACCCATGGACTCATGGCAAGCTGGCATTACAGCAACTGGTTTTCAGAGGCCTGAATTTCCAGTGTTTGTAGAGACCTCCAGTTTATGCAGTGCTCATATTCTCAGGAGTAGAATCAGAGGGGGCTTAGTGTGGAGAGTGTTCCTGGGGTAAGAGTTGGGACACACTCCAATGACATCCATGGATTCCATTTGGAGCATGATTTTGGGGGTCCCAGGAATTTCATCTATTTAGATTTCTACTGTTTTTAGAAACATCCAATTTATGTTGTCTAGATATTCCAGGAATAGAGCCAGAGGTGGTTTAGTGTGGAGCACTTGCTCTTGGGGTACGGATTGGGAACTCCATGGGGAATCTGGATAGATTAGATTTGGGGCATGTGTTTAGGGAGGCACAAGAATGCTTTGAAGTTTTCTTCCCAAATTAGAGCAGTGAATTGGAGAGGAGGAATGGGGAAGTATATAAGGGTCCTTTCTCATCCTGAACAGACATCAAAATAACATCTTTTGAAAAACTGCAAGTTGAATCTACCTTTTCTGACACTCTGCATGGAACACACACTGACCTCCTGCCACCCTTGCACCTGATACTCACCTGGCTGGAACACCAAGCTCTTCTACCTCCCCATGAGCTACATGCCCTCCTTCCTGGTGGATGCCAGGATCTACTGGATGTACCCAAAGCCTGCCAAGGCCCTGTGAAGCTAACGCTGGGGTGCCTGGGGGTCTAGTTGGGGTGCTGTGGGAGGAGTGATGCTTCACGAGGAGGGAAATGGGGTGGGGGGAGAGAGATCTCCAGTCTCTAGGGTCATGTAGCTTGCCTTCCTCCTCACCTCTGCCCCAGGATTCTCCTGGGACTCTGAGGATATTAGGAGGAAAGAAAAGTTTTGCAGCAAAGGAACAGGGACCCAATAGCACACATCTGTGCCCTGTTCCTTGGGCAGCCTCTCAAGGTTCTGAGCCTCATGGTCACCCTGCCACCCTGAGGAATCCACACTTTTGGGAGGTTGTAAGCAGCTGAGAGAGGCTCTGCCCCACCTGAGCCTGCTCTGCCTCTGTCCTCCTCTTCAGTTGTGCCTTGGCCCTGACCAGTCTCCCCCTCCCTTTGGATGGAAATGGCCTGGAGGAGGTGAAGGCCCCTCTCTACTGAAGATACATGTGGACAGAGTTGGGCATGTGGAAGGTGACCACTAGCCTGACCCATTAGCCTCAGGTGCCAACACAGCAGAGAGGCCTGTCATCTGAGAGTAGGTGGCATTCCCAGCCCCGGGAGGAAAAGCACTCTATGGGGTCCTGCAGCCCTCCCATCCCTCACTCCATGGCCTCCATTTTCTGATGTTGGGAGTTTGAGCTCAGGGGGAGCACTGCTTTGGCCAGCAGTAGGCAGAGAGGCCCATGAGATGGTGAGGGAGTCCCAGGCCCGTGTTGGGGCGGTTTCAAGTCATCCTTTTCCAGATCCAGAGACAACTCCTGGGTCTCACTTGTCTTCTCAAGAACTGGGATACTCCTGGGCCTGCTCTGACTTCCCCTAGCTACGACTTCCCTGTTCACTCACCCAGGAGGCAGAGTTGGGAGACGCCTCCCAGACCCAGTGTAGGAGGTATTGCGCCTTGGGGTAGGTACGAAGTAGGTGAAGTTTGCCTCCATCACTTCCTACCTCCATCCCACACAGGCTTTGAGTCTGCTCCCCAGAGGTGGGCCCACGATCTGACCTCCCACTCCTACCATTCTTGGTATAGAATGGCCAAGCTCTCTGGCCTTTCCCTAGGTGACACCTGTTTTATCTGATTCTGGAGCTGACCAACCTTGGTAGGTAGGGAGCATGGGGATTCACCCTTGTCCCTTCACTGGAGGCAACTTCGTGGCTCCATTTCTGTGTCAGACAGTGTAGACAGGAAAGGTGTGGGCAGTTGGTTCTGGGTTCCCTGGGATGAGCTGGTGCCCAGGCTCATCTTGAGGCATGGTGACTCTAGAGGTTTATCAAGAGAACCACCATAGACTCCAGCATCATTCTGTCCTTGCATCTTGTACAATCCAGGCCACGGCTCCCACTATCCACACCTCTGTCTCATCTCTTTACTTCCTTTTCTTTAGCAGCTTCCCTCCTACCTTTCTGTGAGTTCTTTGCCCCATTGCCTGGAATCTCTCCCTTCCCTCCAATTTTCCAGGTCTCTGGCCCCAGTCCTTTGCTTCTCCCATGTGTCATCCCACTTCGCCCCAGATCCTTCCTGCAGCTGCCCAGGGAACTCATGACCCATCCTCATCACCTGGCTGGGACTCATCTCAGTGATGTTCATATCAGAACTCTCTCTTTTCCCACCTTCCCTCCTTATGCCCTAAGTGTCCCCCCTCCTGATTTCTCTTGCCATCTGTGGTTCTACCTGTTATTAGCCCCATACCTTAGAATCACTTTGACTCCTGACCTCACCTTGCTCTGCACATCCAATTAGCCACTGAGTCAGTTGACTTCATAGTCCCTTCCTTCCATTGTTACCACCCCCCCTCAGCCTCCTCAGATCACTAAATCACCCAGTGTGTGCCTGGTCCTGGGAGTGGAAGGAAAATGCCCACTGGGGGCCCTGCCTTGTGGGAGCTGACGTGTCCTCAGTCCTTGACTCCCTCCATTAGCCTGGTCATGGGGTGAGGGCAAGAGCTGGGCTTCTTTGGAGTGCAATGGGGGCTCCCTATTGGTGACCTGAGTATCACCTCCCAAGGGGCCCAGGCCCTGAGCCCCTTGGTCTTTCTGCTTCCTGGGAGTTGGAACCTCACATCACTAGCCTCCCTTATAGGAGGACCCTGCTGCCTCTGGCCTCAGGACAATGGAGGCACATCCATCCTGGGGAACCCTTTATTTTTCCTAATCTCCCCTAATGGCAGAGAATTCCAAAGAGCTAATGTCCTGGAACTCATTTCTCTTGAGATTTTGAGGGCACAAAACCAATTTTGTTCATTTTACATTAATGAATTTACCTTAATTTTTTCCCCTGAAAATAAAAATTAAGTTTATTTACACACTTGGACTCATGACAAATGATTTTGATCCCTGGGCCAGAGGCGGGGGATTTTTAGGGGAGCTCTCTGAGTCCTCCTTCTTCATTTGCCCTGCTCAGACCACCCAGGTGAGCCACCTTTCAGCGCCAACATCACCACTGGGGTCTTTCCCTACCTGGCACCTTTGCCCATCAGGGCTAAGGGAAAGAGAGAGGCAGCCGTGGGATGTCTGAGGTGACAAGACTTCAGGTTGGACTTGAATTTCTTGCATCTAGGCTAATTGGTGTGGTGAGGTATCCACCTACAAAAATTACAGAGTGGCTCACCCAGGGGCCTTGCATCTTTCACCAGCAGTGGGAGGGAGGAGAGCTCTTCTTCCCAGCTGGTTCCAACAGACTGGGGCTCAAAGGACCAGCCTCTCCTGCTGTCTCCTGCGTCTGATCCCTATGGCGGCTCTCACGGACCTGTCCTTTATGTACCGCTGGTTCAAGAACTGCAATCTGGTCCACAACCTCTCAGACAAGTATGTCTTCATCACGGGCTGTGACTCAGGCTTTGGGAACCTGCTAGCCAGGCAGCTGGTCGATCGGGGCATGCGGGTGCTGGCTGCATGCTTCACTGAGGAGGGGGCCCAGAAGCTTCAGCAGGATACCTCCTACCAGCTGCAGACCACTCTACTGGATGTCACCAAGACGGAGAGCATCCAGGCAGCGGCCCAGTGGGTGAGGGACCAAGTGGGCGAGCAAGGTGGGGCGAATTGCATTCTTTGGCTTCCTCAGTTTATCCTTCTTCTTCTCTCTTTCTCCCACAGGCCTCTGACAGTTTCAGGGACCCTGTTGTTCAGATGGGGTGGGAGAGGTGATGTAGAGAAAGGGGCTCGGGCTCTGGATCAGTGGGATTGGAAAGTGTTGCGTGGTTTGGTCTGTCCACATGAAGGGGTGATTTCCCAAGGAAGTTTTCTCTCCCAGGAACTCAGAGGGCTCTGGGGGAGGTTGCAATAGGAGGAGGGAGAGGGAAAATGTGTTCTGTGTGTCCAAACCTCTAAAGATGGAATTGCCTCTCTGGGACTTTGGTGGTCCTAACCATCAGCTCCTGTAGAAATGTGAGCACATTTCTTGTCGGGGTCAGGCTTGGGGGAGGGGGAAGGGAACATGGGGTTGGCCTCCCCAAGTGGAGGCATTTGCTGTCCCTGACTGTGTCAGGCTAGAAGGCTAGAGAGAGAGAGAGATCTGTCCTCTTCCTCACTTCATGGTGGAAATTGGGCTGACCTCAGGGTAAGTGCCAACGTCAGAGTGGTTGCTCCTGTTGGGAAAGGAGGCTGTGGGCTGGGTCAGGACTGTGTGGGGACCTACCCAGGAAGCTTCCTGTGCACAGGGTGTGGGCGCAGGAATGAAAGGAACAGGGTGGCTCTGTTGTAGAAGCAGCAGCCTGGAGGAAGTCCTGACTCCTAAGTGAACTAGTCTGGGGTCCGTGCACACGGGTTGGGGCAGGAGAGCCCCGGGGCCCGGCAGGAGTCAGGCAGTAACTCCTCGCTTTATTTTCCTCCTTAGCATTTGCTACTATCCTATATACAATATATTTTACTAATTTTTCTTATTTATTGTCTGTTTCCCCTGCTAGGATAAAGTTTCCTTGGGGGGCCTGGCTGTTTGTCTCTTTTATTGACTGCATATCCTTAGTACCTAGAACAGGGTCTGGCATCGAGTAAGCTGTTCAAATAAATATTTGTTCAATGAACTAAGTAATGAATAATTTAGCAAGAGTGAGTCTCTTTTTTCCACAGGCTGCCTTGCACAGCGGCCCACATTCAGCCTTGAGCCACTTATGTTAATGAGTCAATGAGTATATTAGTTTCCTGTTGCTGCTGTAATAATTAACACAAATTTAGTGGTTTAAAACAACACAAATTTGTTATCTTTTAGTTCAGGAGGTCAGAAGTCCAAAATGGGTCTCCCTGAGCTAAAATCAAGGTGTCAACAGAGCTATGGTTCTTTCTGGGGGCTCCACGGGAGAATCCATTTCATTGCCTCTTCCAGCTTCTAGAGGTCACCTGCATTCCTTGGCACGTGACCCTCTTCCTCCACCTTTAAGGCCAGCAGCGTTGGGCCGAGTCCCTATCATGCTGCCATCTCTCTGGTTCTCTGTCTTCTGCCTCCCTCTTTCACTTAGAAGGACTCTTGTGATTATATTGGGCTCAACATGCCAACCCAGAATAATCTCTCCATTTTGAGGTAGGTTGATTAGCAATTTGAATTCCATCTGCTGTCTTAATTCCTCTTTCCCATGTAATCCACCATATTCACAGGTTCCAGGGAATAGTGTGGGAACACTTTTGGTGGCCATTATTCTGCCTACCCCATTGGGCAACATCCTTGGTCTAAGAAGCCCTGGGAAATGGGGGGAGGGTTCTTACATGCTTTCTTGTTGTCCCTGAGAGTCTCTGGACATGGCAGGTTGGCACAGCCCTGAAGCTGTTCACATGCTCTGACAGTTCTCTAGCTGCTTTTTGCAGAAAAAAATTAAGATTGTCCTGGTTTGCCAGCAGGCAGAGCTGTTTACCAGGGATGGTCAGAGGAAGTGGCAGTGTGTGTCCCTTGCCCACAGGCAGAGACCACTTGGGTTTTATAGTCTTTGGATCTCAGGAGCCTCATTTCCTCTTCTGTAAGACATGAGAGTCCCCTCTAACTGGGAAGGTTCTGAGTCCTGCCAGCCAGTTGATCTCCTGGGGTCTCTCTAATTGGAGGAAGGCAGGAAGATGGGGTGAGGCATGGTTTGTGTGTGGACCCCAGGCCTAGGGGGAGGGTTGGACCATGAGTGGTATCTACATCTAGACCTGCCCTCAGGAGTGAGTGCCCAGAGGAGTATCTTGAGGCTGCAGAGGTCAAGGTGGGGTGGTGGGATGGGGGGAAGGGAAGAGAAGGGAAGGAGCCAGGGCAGTGAGGATCATGGAATCCCTGAATAGAAGAGCTGGAAGGCATCCTTGGGGATCATTTAGAGACTTTTCCAATGTATTGTTAGCACCAAACATCCTCCTCCAAGTGGAATTTTACTTGGAAGTTCAATATGTAACACAAATGCAAGTCAAACTTCTGCATCTCCCTCAGCAGGTTCTGGAGTTTGGCTTGGAAAGCTCTCAGGATTGCAAACCACAGGCTGGAAACAGCTGTTCTAGTCCAGTCAATGAAGAACTTGAGGCCCAGAGAGGGGAAGTAACTTGTTCGAGGCTGGAGGTCAAAGCAGGACTAGAACTTGAGGCTCTTCAAGCGTGGGCCCCTGCAGAGCTGAATGACAGTACTTAGCATTATTCCTCTCCATTTATAACAACTCAAATGAAATATCTCAAAGAGAGCCCTTATCACATTTTTCCATAATTAATTTATTTAAATGTGTTATATATTTATTTATAAATATTATTTATTTCCTCTCTGGTTTGTGAGCTCCTTGAGGGATAAGAGCCTGTCTTGTTCATTTTATGTCTCTAGCACCTTCCTATGTAACTGACAGAGGACAGATGCATGAATAAATGAATGAGTGGATGAACACGTGAATGGATGGATGAATGAATGGCCTGATTTTGGTAATGTGTGAAATGGAGTTGGCTTCTTACACTTAAGTAAATCAAGAGAGGGAAGCATGATGTGGGAGGACTTCAAACATTAATTCGTTGGTATGAAAATGATCTCTCTCTTTCCAGAGCTAATAGCTTATGTCCTGTTAGCTAAAGCCTGGATTGTAGCTGGCACAGGGCCCCAGCCAGCTGGCAGACTGTATGAATCAGGAGAAGTGCCCCTGTAGGGAAAACTAACTGGTGAAAGGCACATCTTCCTTCGGGCTATCTTAGCTCCCCACTCCACGGCCCCAGCCGGGCTGTCTTGGCCCTTGTGCACCTGCTCAACCATCCTCGGCAGCCCCAAGCTGCTGGGTAGTGGACCTGGTGCTTTTCCAGAAAGGCTGCTGATGTCTGTATGGTTCTCTCTCCCTCCATCACACCCTCAGGCCTCTGGGCCCTGGTGAACAACGCTGGTGTGGGCCTCCCCAGTGGCCCCAATGAATGGCTGACCAAAGAGGACTTTGTGAAAGTGATCAATGTGAACCTGGTGGGACTGATCGAAGTGACCCTCCACATGCTGCCCATGGTCAAGAAAGCCCGGGGCAGGGTCGTCAACATGTCCAGCTCCGGTGGTATTGTGGCTATGATCGGTGGTGGCTACTGCGTCTCCAAGTTTGGTGTCGAGGCCTTCTCTGACAGCATCAGGTGACTGTGCTGGTGCCAACCACTCTGGGTGGGAGTCCTGGGGGTTTCACCTCATGAACAGAGGGCTGGGAGGACAGCATGTGAGCAGAGGAGTTCTGGAGGAAACTAAAACAGTAGTAGGAGGAGGGCTAGTCCCCAGGGGGCCTTTCACAAGGACCAGGAGAAGAAGGGATGAGGAGCAGAGGTGGGATGGTGATAGGAGGCTATCTCCCTGCCTTCCCTTGAGTTGTCTCAGAGTTAGTGAAACCCTGTTTGGGCCTGTGGGAGTAGGAGGGAAAGTCCCCCAAACAGAGAAGTCTGGGGGCAAATTTGGCCATGGCAGACCCTCAGGGGAGGATGCAGGCCTCACATAGACATCCTCACTCTCTTCCTTATGTGGGTGCTATGTGTGGGGCTGAATGGGAGGGACCTGGTGGGAGGCAAGGTTTTGGTCTAGATTCTCTGTTGACTTCCTCCTCGCTGGGTTTGCCTAATGCGAATTGCCTGGAGACAGGTTTGGGAAGGGATGAGGCCCTAAGACAGGGCTTACTTGCATGAAGGCAATGCCTGGCCTGGTGCAGGTGCTGGGGGGGCTCCAGGTTCCTGGGTGATAAGCCCCTCTAGAGGTGTCAGAGGTGACTCTCCCTGATGATCCTCTGTCATCTTGGTGTCCCAGACTGAGTCCAACTCTTCTTTCCCAGGCGTGAGCTCCGCTACTTTGGGGTGAAAGTCAGCATCATCGAGCCAGGGAACTATCGGACGTCCATTCTGGGCAAGGAGGGCATAGAGTTGCGCATGCGAAAGCTGTGGGAGCGGCTACCTCAGGAGACCCGGGACAGCTATGGAGAGGAGTACTTCCGTGTCTGTGAGTTACCTGAGAGGGAGAGGGGTCTCCGAGAGGGTCAGGGAGATCTTAGGGGTCACTGACTTGCTTTTATTTTACAGATGATGGGATGGAGGCTCAGAAGGGTTAAGGCCACACAGCTAGTGGCAGAGCTGGGATTTGAGAGTAGAGACCAAGTGGGCATCTGCTGGGAATGGCAGAACCATAGCTGCCAAGGAGATGGGGGTGCTGGGAGAGGTGCTGGCCGGGAATGCTGCCAACTCCTGGCACCTGCCCCCCAACACATTATTATGTGGGTGAATCAGGTGAAAATGCACTGACATGAGAACAGAGAAGTTACTGAAAGCACAGCTGCTTGAGCGAGACGGCTGGGTTTCACTCCTGGCTTGCCACTTGTCAGCTAGGAGACTTTGGGCATGTTAGCTGGTCGCCCTCTGCTTCAGTTTTCTCCTCTGTAAAATGGAGCTAATGATAGTGCCTACCTCGCAGGACTGCTATGAGGATTAATATCTGTGAAGTGTCTCATGCACACTAAGTGCTTGTTAAATCAATATAGAGGCAAAGGAGCACGTGAGTATTTAAAAGGAAGGGGCTCTGGGCGGCTCCCTTTCTCCCTGAGCTAAGGGTCTGTATGAACTTCAGGTGTCTTTGGAGGGTGGAGGAGGGACATCTCAGCCGTTTACTATACTGCCTGAAAACTTGGTGCAGTTCTTCCAGATTTTTTCTTCTCTTTTACTTGGCCTCCATGAGCCTCTCTGAGATGCAATTTACTGTTGTGGGTAGGCTCTTAGACTCTGGCACTAAGCTGCCTGAGCACAAATTTCAGCTCCCCTGCTTGCCTTGGGCAAGTTACTCAGTTTTCTCATCTGTACTGAGTTATGAGAATTAAATGAGTTAATATACATAAAGTGCTTAGACTATTAGCTGGTCCCTGGTAAGAACAATTTGATTTAAAAGTTTGTTGTTTTTAGCCTTTCTTAGACTGAGTATGGCTTCCTTTTTTTTCCATGGTACTGGTCCCTACAAGCTATAAGTTCTTGCATGGCAAAGGGAGACTCTTAGGTAGTAATTATCCCAAATCGAAAGTGATGAATTTTTAAAATTTACACAGAAACTCTGGATGGGCTAAATGTAATCATTCAGATCAAATCCATGGCAGGGGATGGTTAACTGTCTGGGGGGGGGGGGGTCGGTGAGGTGTAGGGGGCATGGTTCTTTCAGTGACATGCTCTCTTGGACATCATACATCAACGGAGGCAAAAGCCAAGACATCAAAACCATGACAGCCACTTATTCACTTAATACACGTTTTATTGGGAGCCTGCCACATGCCAGGCACTGTGTGGGGCTGGGGGGTGAGAGGGGACCAAGCAGCCAGGTGTACAGCTCGCTGCATGTGGCTTAAGGCCCAGTAGGGCAGACAGATCTTAATAAAAACACACACATTTAATGGCAAATGTGGATAAGTACCATGGAGAGAAGCACAGGGCTATGGAAAAAGAATGAGGTTGGGAGTGGGTCCCCAGTTCACTTACGGCATGGGGAAGGGCTTCTCTGAGTTGACTTCGAGGAAGAATGAGTTAGACATTGCTGGAAAGTGGAAAGAGGGGCTAGGCAGGGAAGTTTTTCCAGGAAGGCTCTGAGGCAGGCAACTTTTAGAGGAACTTTAAGGATACCAGACGGTGGGGAGCAGGGTCGGGGAGCAGAGAGGGCACAGGATAAAGCACACTGAGGATTAAGGATGCGATCTGATTTGTGATTAGGAAAGACTGCTCTGGTTGCTGTGGTATTCCAGGCTAGACACGTCGGTGGTTTGGACTAGAGAGAAGGTGGAGGAGATGGAAAGAAGTTGATAGATGCCAGGTGTATGTTAGATGTGCTGGTGCTGGGAGACAGAAGAAGCCATCAGGGATGAGTGCTAGGTTTAGTTCAAGAAACCTGGTGGATAGAGGTATCATTCTTTCCTTGATTTAGGAAAGAGTCAGGGGGAAATATTCAGAGAAGTATTCCTTAGTGAAAGTAATCTTTTAGTTCTGGACATATTAGAATTCTGTGAGGAGAAAAAAGTTCTAAGGATTTACGTCAGTTGGGACTGTCTCAGTTACAAGCGACAGAAAATCCAACCCAAATTATTTAAGCAGAAAAGGAATTTCTTGACACTCATTAATAAAAAATTGAGGGATATGGGCTTCAGGTACAGCCTGATCCAGTCAACAAATGATGTCATTAGGACTTAGTTTCCCCCTATTTTTTGACTCTGCTTCTTCTTCTTCCTCTTTTTTTTTTTTTTTTAAGTCTTTAGACCAATTTAAAGACTTTGGCTTTTTTTTTTTTTTTTTTGATGAGGAAGATTTGCCCTGAGCTAACATCTGCTGCCAATCTTCCTCCTTTTGTATGTGAGCTGCCACCACAGCGTGGCCACTAACAGACGAGTGGTGTAGGAACTGAACCTGGGCTGCTGAAGTGGAACGCGCTGAACTTAACCACTAGGCCACAGGGGCAGGCCCTTGGCTCTGCTTCTTTTGTCTTGGCTCCAGTCTCACAAGCTCTCTCCCCCGTGGAGGTCACATGGCTTCAGTATCTCCTCATTTCCTCCCAGGGATAGTCCTTTCCAGTAGCTCCCCAAAAAGGCCTAAGATTCAATCTGACTTAGTGGGCCTATGACAGCAGAATCAGAAGGAACTTCAGGATGCACCCAACCCTCAGCTCATCACTGTGCCCGGAGAATGTGAAGATCTGTTGGCTCAGGCTGGGTCATGAGCTGTGCCCAGACCAAAGGTCTCAGAGTGGGAGAGGCATGGATCCCCAGAGAGAAACCTATAACTATTGCTCTAACCAAGGGACTGGATGTTGAGGAGGGGGAATAATATATATCCTCTGTGAGATCCCCCTAAAACTCTCCCTTAGCAAAGAGTGATCCAAGTTATTTATGGGGCCACTGTGAGGCTGGAGTGGAACACAGTTCAGCCAATGTCTGGAAGCCTCACAAGGCATTTTCTGAGTAAAATAGCTCGATGCAGGCAGACTTTGTAGAGTCTTCAGTGTGGTCTATAAAAGAATATGTAGAAAGGCAAATTACCTCTGAAAACCACATGTTGCAAAGCTGATATCGTTCTTCTGAAGAATAGTGAGGACTGGGTTTATAAAATACCATCAGCTGATTCCTCTGTCATCCACCTCATGATTTCAGAGGAAAATTTTAAGGCAAGCATTTGACTACTTTTAGATAAAAATTTTTCAGAGTGAATATACTCTAATTTTCACTTCTGTTTAACTAGTGTTTATAGGGATGCAGAAATGAGTCAAAGTCTCTGGGAACCTAGCAGGGCAGGTCTGAAAGCACATACCACACCACACAGAGAATTGTGCAACAATGGGCAAGTGTACAAAACAAAGCAACAGTACAGAGACTTAATTCTGCTGCCACAAAAGCCTTCACAGAGGGGACTATTGATGCCTTGGTGAGTTTTGAAGAGTGAATAGGAGTTCACCAATAGGGAAAAAGATGGCAGATGTTTCCCACAGAGGGAGGGGCATGAGCAGCATTTTGGGGACCTGACATAGCACAGTGTGCTTTTGATGACAGTGAGGAGTCAGGGTTTAGATTACAGCAGTTCCTCTAACCGGGTTACACAACGCTCGAAACTTCAGTCTTCATTATAAAGTATAATTCCTCTCTCATGGCTTGTTAGGAGGGTTAAATAAGAATGTAAAGTACTCAGATCAGCCATAAAATAAGAGTTCAACAAACCTAAGCCATCATTGTTGTTACTGGTGTGGCCTGAGTGAAGTGTGAGGGGCAGTGGTGGGAGATGAGGCTGGGAGAGGTTAGGAGTCAGATCACAAAAGGCTTTATGGCTCCACTAAGGAGTGTGACTCTTATCTTGAAGGCATTGGAGAGCCTTTTAAATGGCTCTGAAATGACCTGATCAGATTTGTGTGCTGTGGGAAGGATGAGGGTGGAAACAAGAGACCGGCTGGGAGGCAATGGCAGAAACTCAGTGAAGGAACGGGCAAAGGAATGGTGGTCGCGGGAAGTGTGTGTGCGTGTGTGTTGTAGGGTAGTGTTTTGGTGGGCTGGTGCTGTGGAGACACACTGAAGAAATATTTCAGAGTGAGTGTACAGCACCACTGGGCACAAACTCCACCAAGTTATTGGGGCCAACCAAACAGGCCCCTGGCTTGTGAACCCCAGGGCCAGGCCAGGTATCTTGGAGTGATTTTTAACTACACCCAAAATAGAACCATGTTGGAAATGGCTAATTAATTGCAGCCTGACATGGGCACATTCCCAAAGCAGCAGCACATGGAATCAATGGGATAGCCACGTGAACAGAGCAGCATTCTTGTCCTAATAAGCCTGGAGTTGAGCCACAGCCTGTCTTGGTTAGCATGGCTTAGGGGCAGCAAGCCACCAGCTAAGTTTCTTTCTTTGTCTCAACCCTGTGGGGAGGCCACCAAAAATTCCCCGTTTGTCCCCTTTCTTCCTGGGGAATGACTAGATCAGAAGCCAAGGACCTGTCCCTGGCAAAAGAGAAGGAAACAGAAAATGAACGATTGGTCCTGCTTTGTAGACTTTACCTTGCTTAATTCTCACAATAACCCAAATGTTTCCTAGTTGCCTGAATCCAAAGCTTATGTTCTTCTTCACTGTCGAGGAGAGTGACAAGTGTTAAATGGGAACCTCTGTCTCCCTTCCCACTCCGTGTCTAGCAGGGTGCCCAGCACAAAATAGGAACTCCATAAATATTTGAAAGAACAATGAGAGAATGTGCCCTACGCTACTTGCATGTCTCAGGTAGCTTCTTCCACCCTACTGCCTATGCGAGTCCTCCCCAATTTTCAGAGCCTAGTTCCAAAGCCATCTGTCATATCAGCTTGCCCGGCCCCCAACAGCCCACACAGCTTTCCCTGGCTCTGAGGGAGCACACGTAGCCCTGAGCATCTTGAACGAGTCCTTTGACACTCACTCCTCTGCCTGGGACCTGCTGGTGGTGGACTCTGTGTTAGGCCCAAGGATGGAGGACAGAGTGTTGGCTTCCTAAGACATTATGGCTGTATAGACAGTCTGGCTTTTTAAGATAGTGCGGCTCTTTTTGGGACCCCAAAATGTAGTGTGCCTTCTTCACTGCTGGAGTTTTTTCTCTTGGAAACAGAAAGGGAGTTCCTCGGAGATGAGGGTGAAGGGTCCTTGAACGACAACCCTCATCAACAGCCACCAGGGTCCTGCGCAGAGCGAGTGAGTTCCTTGCCTTCCTGGGCCATCCTCAAAGTCGGCCAGCTTTTGCTCCCTCTTTGTTTTCAAGTTTTAATTCCTTGTTGCAAAGTCTGACTCTCAGGCACCACTTCTTCTGGAGTTCTTAGGGCTCTCAGTGGAGTATGAGTCCCATTGAGGGGACCCTGCCCCAGAGTCCTGGGGCGAGGGTACAGATCAGGACCCCATAAGTGTATCATGTGGCTTGCCTCTTATTTGTGTTGTGAGATTTGTCAGACTTGGACCACTTGGGTGCCTTGTACCCATCTTCACACCCGTGTGCACAGTGCTAACAGAAGACCCTTCACATTGGTTAGAGCCTTACAAGGTGCCTATCTGTGCCTTAGATCATTTGAGCCCCACGATGGCCTTATGATCAAAGTAAGGGCGGCATTACTATTTTTTAATAAAGATTTTTTCCTGTGTGCTTTTGTAGAAAATTTGGGAACTCTAGGATGTACATAGGAGAAAAGAAAACCTCCAGTGACTAGGAATCCCACCAGCCAGTCAATATTTTCACCCATTTCCTTCCAATTTTTCTAATGTGCTTGTTTTCTTCCTGTCCTCCTCCACTGTTTACCCTGCTATAATTCATCTTTATTATTCTCTAGGGCAGGTATCATTATCCCCATTTTACAGATGATGACAATTTAAGCTCAACGTCCGTCACACAACTAATAAGTGGCAGAACTGGGCACAGTTCTTGTTGCTAGTCGAATGCAATAGTAGGAACTCAATACACAACTGTCGAATTCAGAAAGAGAAATAAGATTATTTACAGGGTGTTTGTGTAAAGAACAACCCGGAGGGTGTGGTAGATCTGCCTGAAATGTTAGATCAGCGATCTGATGGACAGAGAACTTGGAATTCAGAAGAAACCATCTTAAATGGAATTCATGAAGAATAATAGAACCTTTGATTTTTTTTTCCTGCCTATACCCTCAAACAGATACTGACAAGTTAAAAAACATGATGCAGTTGGCAGAGCCAAGGATCGGAGAGGTTACCAACAGCATGGAGCACGCCATTGTTTCCCGGAGCCCCCGCATCCGCTACAACCCTGGCCTGGATGCCAAACTTCTCTACGTCCCCTTGGCTAAGTTGCCCACCCCTGTGACAGATTTCATCCTGGGCCGGTACCTTCCAAAGCCTGCAGACAGTGTCTGAGCTGGGGAAGCCCAAGGGGTGGTCAATGGAATGTAGGGGAGAAGGGTGGGAGAAGGGACTGTGGGGTCGCACGAGGTGGTGTCAGATGTTCTGGGGGACACTTTGCTTGGCTGACACCCACTGCTGGGAATGTATGGGTAACTTCTAACAGAGGATGAGTGCCTCTTCCCACTCACTGGGTCCCCACAGAAGCCTGAGGTGGCCTTTGCACCTTCAAAGACTTGCAGCATGGCCCCAAGAACAAATGTCACCCAGTCAGCATATGGCTTTTTCTGGACCTGGAAAAATCAAGGAGAGGAAAACCAGTTTCTGCTGAAGCCTGAGCCTCCCTCAGTTATTGCCACCATTGGGAAATATTGTGGGATGATCTAGCCCGCAGGACAGTCTCAACCACTGTCCTGTTGGGTCTCTAAATATGCAATAACCTCATTCATATGACCCTTTATTTGAAGTACTTAGTAGGGGAGACAGGGAGTGCAAAATTACATCAGGCAAAAGTTTATAATATTTTCTCTCTCTTTAGATTTCTCTGTCCTAGGTAATTGGGATCCACGTGAAATAATAATCATTTATTTAATCACCATTGATTAATTCTTCAAATATTTATTCAGTGCCTACTACATACCAGGCATTGTGTAGGTGCTGGAAGGATATAAAGATAATTAAATCATGGTCTTGAGTTTTTATTGTTTATTTTGTGTTTTTGTTTTTTAGCACAATATCTAGTAGCAGAGATAGGACAGACAGTGATACAAGAAACACAAATCAGAAAATTACATTTTTAGAGCTGTGAAGAACCCTAGAGCTCATCTAATTCAGTAGTTCCCAAACTTGGCTGTACATCATAATCACCTGGTTAATTAAAAATACAGATTCCCAGGCCCCAATGTTAGAAAATATGATCCAGTAGGCTTGGGATGGGGCCCAGAAATCTGTGTCTATAACAAGGACCTAGATGATTCTGATGTACTTGGGCACTTGGGAGCCACTGATAGTTCCATAGAAGTAACTGATGCTCAGAGGAGGAAGTGACCTACCCAAGGCCCCCCAGCTTGGTGGCCAAGACAGAACTCAGGTGTTCAGATTCCCAGACTAGGGTGTTAGTTATAGGAGAATAAATTTCTGGAATTAGTAAACACTGTCAAATAAGTCATTGAACTAAATTAAAAAAAAAAAAAAGCCTTGGGCTGGCCTGATGGCGTAGCAGTTAAGTTCACGTGTTCCACTTCAGCAGCCTGGGATTCCCTGGTTCAGATCCTGAGCACGGACCTACTCATCACTCATCAAACCATGATGAGGCAGCATCCCGTATAGAAGAGCTACAACTCTACAACTATGATCACAACTATGTACTGGGGCTTCGGGGAGAAAAAAAAAAGAGGCAGATTGGCAACAGATGTTAGCGCAGGGCCAATCTTCCTCAAAAAAAAAAAAAAAAGCCTTAAACTTCTAAGTAATGTGAACTTCTATTGAAAAGAGTTTTTTTATCGTGAGGAATGGTCATGTAATAAAGGTCAAATGTGAATTTTTTAATTAAAATATCTTTAATTTGTGTTTCTTCAACATCTGGCTGAACTTGAAAATAATAAAATGTAACTAATTACATCTGCAACAGACCCCTTTTCCAACTAAGGTAATGTTCACAAATTCCAGGAATTAGGACGTGGACATATCTTTTGGGGGGCCTCCATGGAACCAACCCACTAAGTCTGTTATTTGCAGCACTTCTATTCCGGGCACCAAATTCTATACCAGATGGGATGCATTGAGCAGCAAGTAATGGAAAGACCAACTCACATTGACTTAAACAACAAAGAAAGAATTAGGGCAGGACCCCATAGCTGAATGATGGCACCAAGGATGCAGGTCCTTTCTACTCCTTTGCTCTGCCGGCCACAGGGTTGGCTTTATCCTAAATCCAACTATCTTTATTGTTGTGGTATGGCTGCCAGTGGCAATGGGAACTCTGTGCTTCCTCATTCGCAATTTATAGGAGAAGAAAGAGCCTGTCTTCCATGGCACTAAAGATTAAGGAAGTTCCTTTCCCAGAGCCCTCACCAAGGCTCTCTTTGAATCTCATTGACCCACATTGGCTTAGGTTTGTCCACGCTGAACCAATCACTGCCAAGGAGGTAAATTACCATGAACTGTTTTAATTAATCATGGGACTGGATGGGAACATTGGGGAGTCAGTCACAGTGCCTACTGCCCTGGAAAATTCAAGACTCGGACTCTGCTGAGAGAGCTGAATCTAGGTCAAAAATAAATTTTATTTGTTGAAGACACAAAAATTTACTGGAGGGAGACTATGGCTAGGTAATATTTTGAGATATTAATTTACACATTTTCATTGCTCCTTGGTTTCCTGTCTCCCTTTTCCCCACTCCAGTAGGGAGCAAATGTAGTGCTTCTTTACCCACAGTGAGATATTTGACAGAATAGAACAGACATATTTCTTCCATTTTCTCCAGCTTTAGTTTCCCCCAACCTTAATATCTTTAAAGAAATTACAGGATTTGGGGAAAGAAGCAAAAGGGAATGTGGCTTGTGGGTGTACACAATGTCTCAGAGAAGCAGGGCCCTCCCCCTAAGACAAGGAGATTCACTCTGGCTGATGAGAGAAGAGGGTGAGGTTTGGAGCTCCAGAGCGGGAGAGATCAGGGTTCACTTTCTGCTAGTACGTTGAGGAGGTGGCAAGATTCAAGAGAGTCACAGCTGCCTTGTGTGTTTAGGCAGATGAGACCCTGGGTGACTCACAGGAGACTCATGTTTCCCACTATGGAAGGAATGTGGTAGAGATTCACCAGATATAAAGGGTATGTAGACTGGGACAGCAGACATTTAAGAGGTAACCTACTCAGATAGATAATTTTTTTCTCTGAGGGCTATCCCATCACCCCATCATTTTTTTTTTTTTTTTTTGTGAGGGAGATCAGCCCTGAGCTAATATCCGTGCTAATCCTCCTCTTTTTGCTGAGGAAGACCGGCTCTGAGCTAACATCTATTACCAATCCTCCTCCTTTTTTTTTTTTTTTTCTTCCCTGAAGCCCCAGTAGATAGTTGTATGTCATAGTTGCACATCCTTCTAGTTGCTGTATGTGGGACGCGGCATCAGCATGGCCGGACAAGCAGTGCATCCCTGCGCGCCCGGGATCCGAAACCGGGCGACCAGTAGCAGAGCGCGCGCACTTAACCACTAAGCCACCCGGCCGGCCCCACCCCATCATTAATAGTTGAGATATTTTTTAAATTTGTGGACTGAGATTTATATCTGCTCCAATATTATATTTCAGTTTATTTCATATTAGGATCATAACTTTTCTTGTATAGCTTTTGTATTTTCCTAGAGTTTTAAATTGCCCTTTCTTTTCTTATTCACTTATTCAGTCTCTTAATCAAATAATCTCCACATTTTTTTTAAACAGAGGAGTAATGTGATCTGATTTAAATTTTGAAAAGATTACTGTAGGGGTTCTGTGGAAATGAAGGGGCAATGGTGGAAGTAAGACTCGCAAGGGGTCCATTGCATAATCCAGGCAAGATATTATGGTACCCTAGGTGAAGGTGGTGATAGTGGGGATGATGAGAATGGATGAAATCAGCATATAATTTGGAGGTAGTACCACTGAAGGATTTTAATCGGTTAGTCTGTCAAGAAGAATTTATTGTTCTCTATGTGCCAGGGGTAGTTCTAGATACTGGAGTTATAGTGGTGCACAAGATAGACAGAGTCCTTGCCCTCAAAGAGTTTATATTCTGATAGGAGGAGGAATTGGACAATAGACATATAAAGAAACGAATGACACAATTTTATAAACTGATAAATGCCATTGAGAAGAGAAAATATAATAATGTAATAGATGACCAACAAGGCTGCTTACCTTTTTTCTTTTTTTAAAAACAAATGGTATTGAGGTAAAATTGCTATAAAACAAAATGCATCCTTTTAACTGTAACATTTGGTGAGTTTTTGACATATGAATACACCTGTGCAACCACCACCATCAAGATATAGAACATTTCTCTCATCCAGAAAGTTCCCTGGTGCCCCTTTGCAGTTAATCCTCCTCTCCATCTTCCTGGCTCCAGACAACCTCTGATGTGCTTGCTGTCACTATAGATTTGTTTTGAGGCTACTTACTTTTAAAGAAGATCACTTTTGCTGCCATTGGGGAATGAGTTGGAATGAGCTGGATTGGAGGGGTACAACAGGAGCAAGACTAGAGATGATGAGAGAAATGTAACAATAAAATAATAGAAATAATCATAATTAGCATTTATTGGATATTTACTCAGTTCCAAGCGCTATGCTTAGTTTTCCATACATTATCCTTGTAATTTTATTTAATCTCTGCAACAAGCCCTGTGAGGTTACTCCTATTTTGTAGAGGAGGAAACTGAGGCTCAGAGAGGTTAAGTAATTTACACAAGATTACACAGCTAATAAATGGCAGATTCAGGATTCCAGCCCCTGTGGTCCACCACACACTACAATAGCAAACACTTATATAGTGCTTACTACATGCCAGGCACTCTTCTAAGCAGTTTAATCTTCACAAACCTTGAAAGGAGGGTATTATTATTCCAGTTGTAATGAAGAGAAAACTGAGGCCCAGAGAAAGTAAATACATACTTTATAAGCAACTGGCAGGGCAGGCCCTTCTAGTTCTAAAATCCTCTTCTTTGAATGTGTCATTGCTGTGTTGGTGCCTGGGGAGCATCTCTGTACACACACACGGCCACCAGCTTGTGATGTGTCTTGCTTCCATTTCCATGAAACTTTTCCTAACCAGCCTTGCTTGGGCCTCTCTTCCACCTCTTTCCCCGTGAAGACAGAGGAGGCTCTGTCCTCCATGGGCCTCCTCTTCTCCTGTGGGATGTGCCTGCCTTTCCCCTGAGCCTCAGCAAGCTCTCTGATCTCCAATGAACCTCAACCCAAAAGTGATAGGAGAAGGAGAGAGTGCATTCCAGAGTAACATGGGGCTGGCTGGTCACTGAACTATTGCCCAGTCAGACCTTTGGAGACATTCTTAAACAACAGTGTAAACACTGCACCTGGACCAGAAAAAAACAGATACAGAGAATTTTAATTCCAAACGTGGAATGATGAACAAAATATTCCTTTTGGAACTTCTAATGAAGGAGTGAGGATTTTAAATATTGTGTGTATTTTTTTTAATAATCAGGCACAAGTTTCAACCAGGAGATGAAGATGAACAGTAAATAAACAATTTTCAGAGGCAGAATTGAAACTCCACTTAGGAGGCATTTCAGAGGGCTTTGTATGCAAGGAGAGCAATGCCAACTCTTCTCTCTAAATTTGCCAGGAAAGGAGAGATCTGAATTTCTCATCTACTGAAGGAGGAGGAGGAACTCCCCCCACCATGTGGCTCTACCACTTTCTGCTCTGGTACCTGGAGAGGTAGGGGATGGGTGAGCCACCTCCAAAGCAACTACGACTTAATTGTGACATGTGACTTGGGCTTTGGGAAACTTCTGGCCAGGCAGCTGGACCTGTGAGGCTTGAGGGTGTTGACCAGGTGTCTGATGGAGAAGGAGACTGAAAAGCTGAGGGGCCAGATGTTAGACAGGCTAGAGACAGTGATCCTGGATGTCACCAAGGCAGAGAGCACCACTGCAGCCACCCAGTGGGTTAAGGAGTATGTGGGGGACAGAGGTATGACTTGGGTATA